AGTTTGTTTATTTGTTTAAAACTTCACTACATGGCTATTTTAAATTATTTTCTTAATTTTTTGGATATAATCTTGTGCTTTAATGTACAAAATTTGAGAACTATAGACATTTCTAAAGAAGTGGAAATGATTAGTCCATCACCAAGTAGCAGTGTCTTTACAATGTGAATGTTTTCCTAGGTCAGATAGAAACAAAACATTTAAAGAAAATTGGGAGATTTTGAACAATAATCATATCTTTGGGTTGATATCAAGGAGAATAACACATTCTTCCAAAAACATTTCCTGATACTTTTGTCAGTGATCAACTCCTATATTGACCATGAGGGTTATTCTTGGGCTTTGATCTCTTACCTATTTTCAATATACTCACAAACATTTGCACTCTACGTTCTGGGAACTCAGTCTTCGAGTTAATTGTTTTATTGGTTCTAGCCTCCTACTCTAGCTAGTTATCCAGGTAGCTAGTGTCCCAATTTCAGAAGGAGATAGTTGGTGATGTGCTTCTATTACTCCCCCAACCCCTTACTGCAATCCAGCTCTTGGTATAAATAAATAACCCTGCCTCCACTCCAAACTCCCCCCACTCTTGTGCATGATTCAGGGGAGGGGATGGATGTGGTGGTCATTCCAGCAGAAGAATGATCCCCTAACCCCACTTGATGCCTGGGTCACAGTTATCTTGCTAGTCCCCAGGTACAACTTCATGCTGGTTCTGTCCAGCTTCCTGCCTCTTTTTGTCTTCTTCTAGTAGTTCTCCACTTCTCATACCACTAGCTGAGCAGCAACTCTCAAGGCTAAAACTCTTCTCCCTGTCCTTTGAATGCACTTTTGTTCCTGTGACTCATCCTACCCTGTACTTGTTATATCCCTGACCCCTACCTCACTCCTTGCATGATAACAGAGTTCTCATCCAACTCCTAGTATTTTCTCATGATCCAGGACAGGAAACCAGGGTTTCCTGGACACCAGTGATCTCATTACAACAACTTCCTTCCACCTATCCCACTCCAACCACCTTTGAGGTGCACCTTTGTATCCAACGGACTCCTAAAATGACCATTCGGTCTTAGACCAGGGATGATTAACAAGCACCCCTAACTAATGCTGTGTTGCTCTTCCAGCCCAGATATGTTTAAATGCAGTAAATGGCAGAGGGAAACTGGTCTGTGCAGAGCTAGCCCACAGAGCTTCTATGACTTTAGCCAGGCCCAAAGAGATAACATTGCTCTGAAATGCAACTTTTTGGAGAAAAACGTAGAGAAGTCCAATTTCCCCCAATTGAAATGAATGCAGTTAGACACAAAATAGCCATGAAGTTTTAAACAAATAAACAAACTGTATTAGATAAGAATTACCCACTCCTATAAAGTTCTGCTATAGCTATAATTGGTTCCAAGACTCTTAGGGACTCTCTTTATTGTTAGTCATGAATAGGTTGAGTATTGGATTCTAAACATCATAACAGATAAACTATAATATGTCCTTAGATGAGGTAGTTAATGTCCAAATTTATTTGTTTTAGTTTCTTGTGTAAAGAGACTATAATATCATGTAGTTGATGATTATAGGGACTTGAAGAGTGATAATGTTGCATGATGATCATTACCTGTAAAGTTCTAATGTAAATTCTTAAAATCGTCTAGGAAACTCTCTCATTTGAGTGAAAATCCTTCATAATTATAGAATTCATTTTTATTTTCAAAAGAAAAATAAACAGTTTCCATTGCCAATGGACTCTTAAGAATCTTTTGGAAAAACTCTTGACTGACTTTATAAAAGAGAGAAAACAAACCCCTCTTTTTGGAAGCTACTGTTTTTCAGGTTTGTTCTACTAACATATAATGGATAGAAAATGGCTGTTAATGATCTAAAACCAAAACCCAGAAAGACTAAGAACACAAGGTTTATAGTTCCCCAAACAGATTTGAAGACTAGAATATTAGTCAGACTTTTTTTCGTGGAGGAGAGAGATGGAGCTAGTTGGTGGGGAGAGCACTAGAGGGAGACCAGGTGGATCTCTGAGAAAGGTGCTGGACTGTTTCCTGAGCTGAAAACGCTCAGGAAAGGGGGAGTAGAGTAAAAATGTTGTATTAGTTTCCGTTGCTTCTGTAACAGTACCACAAACTTAGTGGCGTAAAACAACATAAATTTATTATCTTACAGTTCTGGAGACCAGCAGTCCGAAAAGGCTCTTACTGGACTAAAATCAAGGTTTTGACAGGGTTGGTTCCTTCTGGAAGCTCTGGGGAAAATTTGTTTTCTTGCCTTTTCCATCTTCTAGAAGCCTCCATGTCTCTTGCTTCATGGTTCCTTTCCCTATTTTAAAAGCAGCAATAATCTCTGGAGTCTTTCTCACATCACATCATCCTTACACTGATTCTCCGCTTCCTTCTTCCACTTCTGAGGAGCTGGTGATTACATTGTGCCCACCTGGACAATCCAAAATGATCTCCTTACCAAGGTCAGCTGATTGGCAACCTTAATCCCATCTGCAGCCTTAACTCACTCTTGCCACGTAACGTAACCATCATAGGTTCTGGAGATTAGGATGTGGGCATCTTTGGGGGGCTGTTATTCAGTCTTTGACAAATGTCTATACAGATTTGGGGACACATGCCCTGTTTTCCCTCTGGCACCTTGGAAGCTAGTCTCTATGAATTCTCCATACCAGCATGGGGAGGCAGCAGTTAAGTAGAGGCCAGGAGGGAGGGGCCTGACAGCTGCCTGGCAGTTCCTAGGCTCCAGTGTTCTCTATTCATGGGAGAGCTGGCAAGCCTGAGAGGGCCCTAGCAGTTGGGACAAAGTGACGCAGCTGTGAAAATCACTGTGGATCCCATGACCGGGGACCATATGGGGATGGGAGGCCTCATAGGATGCCAATGTGGAGGCATAACAATTACTGAGGGCCAGATCAGAATGTTCTCAGAGATGTCAATAGGAGCTGCTGATGTTTGAGGAACCCCACCTCCCTTTACACTAAAAGCTCTCATGGAAGGGGTAAGGAAGAAACCTCTGAACTGATGCCCAGAAATCTGAACCAATTCAGAAAACTCTGAAGTTCCTGAGAAAACCCCAGTTTGACTAAGATGGAAGTTTCTGTCACTAGGCTGAATGGGAATTTGAGATAGAAACTAAGTTGTTAGAGAAAAATAAAGTTCACGTTTTACACTCCTGAATCTGTGCTGAGAGTTGTGCTGCAACATATAAATGAAGATAATGATGTTGAGTCCAACATTCTCAGATTTAATTGCTATATTTTGGCTTTGGCTTAAGAGCAGCATTTAGAGTGATCTGAGAAACTACTGCCAGACCGGTGACATTCTTCTCTTGGCGTTGTGTTCATAGAGGCAGAGCATGGGGGCCTCTGGGGGGGTCTGATTGACTTTCTGGGTTTGTTGCCATGAGCAAGTGTTACTAGGGCTGATCAGAGTTCTTGGGGTTATTATGAAGAACGTTTGTGTCATCAGTGGGCTTGTCATTAAAATCTGAATGGTAAACAAAGTTTATTTTATATTTTAATGAAGTGAAAAAAATAATTACAATATCAGTAATAATATTAACTAATATTTATTGATTGCTTACTATATGCTAGGCACCATGCTAAAGTACTTTACATACATCATCTCATTTAATTCACATAAGCGCTCTGAGGGGAAAGAATGATTATTACCTCTATTTTAGAGACAAAGAAGCTGGGGCTTAGTGAAGTTAAGGTTCCCTGCCTGTGGTCACCCAACTTGTAAGTGACTGGCTTGAACCCAGGTCTCTCTGTCTCCAGAGCCTGAATGCTCAGAAATATGCCATTCAACCACTTTAACCACCTATGGGCAGATTCCCACTGCTGGAGGGATTTTAGGTATGGCATTTGGCAGGGAGAGTGCCAGGCTAATGTCCTGTGAGAGCTTTCATGGGACACTTTCTTACCCCAGCAACTGGTAGGGGCTAAGGACTGGGAGCTTGTTTTCCACAGAGTCAGCTGTGGATCTGGCTTTGGGAAGCTTTGGGGACAGGGATTGGGGGAACTTATGGATCCCTGGGGCTTACTTGGGCTTAGCTCATGGAGGTGAGGGTGGTGGGGTAGGCAAGGATAGGCAAGGAGCTCAATAATACTGCCTTATATTAACCAGACTGACATTTTTTCAGTTTATATTGTCCATGAACTATTATAACATTATTATAACAGAAGCATTTTCTTAGAGATAAAGCTACATATAGCAATATTAATTACAAATACAGCTCATTGGATTCATGCAGTTCCTTCCCAACAATTTGAGGTGATTCTTGTGATCCTGGAATCTAAACATGGCATCACTATGACATTCTCCACCAGACATGTTGGTGTAGGAGGGATGCTAACCTTCTAGATGTCACATGATAGCAGCAGCAAGTAGGAGACCAAATATCTTATGGTTTTCATAAATAGGAGGGGACATGTTCACCTTATGCTCTTGAACACTTGAAGTTCTCTTCCCATTGTCAAGGTGCTGGGAAGCACTGATGATGTTCTGTCTTTCAGACTCTTAACTCTAGTGGTAGCCAGTCTGAACTTTTTTCACTCTGCACACTTTTGTGTCTGGGCCAGGCTGTCTGCAATGTTCAGGGCAGGCATTTCGGTGTTAAGAAAAAAAGAAGGGAATAGGTGGGTTACTAAAGTCTTGGTTTTATATCTGGGCGGTTGGATGGGATAGAATGGAGGATGAGAACAGAGGAAGAGACATGAACAGCAAATCTGACTATGGTGATCTCAACACTCTGACATATCCAACCACAGAAGGACACGGTTCTTTTTTTTTTTTTTTCTTTTTAATTTTAGAGGGAACATTAGTCAATTCACTGTTACTTAAAGCAGTGCAACTAAATTTGAGGTGTTTGGCGTGTCTTATTTCTCCTTCCACACACAGAGGAAAGGAGTCTGGGGCGATTCCTCATCCCTGTCAGAGAACATGATCCCAGGAATCCTCTCTGGATCCTCCCTGGACTGGCCACCTTCTTCCACTTTATGAATGCAGTATATTTTCTGTGACAGTGCTGCCACCACCACTGATGACAAAGCTTTGTGAACTGGACACTACAAGTGCTGGGGACATCTCTTCAGGGTCCTCCATCTCTGGTCGGAAGTCCCCGTCTACAGGCCCTTGAAGGCCTCTCTCCTGGGCACTCAGTTCTGAGTCTGTCTCCCCGCACTGTAGTGGGAGTAATGCCTGGTGTCTGGTGAGGGTCTCATTGCTTTTCTGGGCCTCCAGGGAGTTCTGGTGCATAGAATTCCTGTGAGCCATGGCACTCTTCTGAGGCTCATCAAAGCTCAGTGAGAAGGTGACTGTGCCACTGCCGAAGATGACTTTCTGCTTGCATCTGGGCTGTGGCTGTGGCTGTGGCTGCTGCTGTAGGGACGAGGGCTGCTGTGGCTGCGGCTGCTGCTCTTGTTGGGTCAGGGCCAGTGGCTGCTGCTGCTTTTGCCTCTCGGGCTGTGGGAAGGGGTCTTCACTGTTGCTCTTACTGCTGATGGAGGAAGAGGGTGTGGATCCCGTGGAGCCCCCAAGGCTGCTGGACCGCTTTCGAGAGACGTTGCTGCGGCGCAGCGTGGCCCGGGCTGCTACTTTGAAAGCATGGGCAGCAGTGCTGCAGCGTACCTCCTCGATGGTGTTACGTGATGGCTTGAAGAGGATGATGTAGACCTTGTTGAAGAAGATGCAGGCCAGCAAGCCAAAGCTGGCTGCCAGGATGGCGATCACTTCCACGGCAGAGACAAACTTGCCATAGGTGCTGGCGTAGGCTGGAATGAAGGAGATCCAGACGATGAAGAAGATGAGCATGCTGAAGGTGATGAACTTGGCTTCATTGAAATTCTCTGGCAGCTTCCGGGACTTGAAGGCAAAGAAGAAGCAGATGGCAGCCAGTAGGCACGTGTAGCCAATTAAGAAGCCCAGTGCCATTAGCGAGCCCTCGTGGCATGTGATAAAGATGATCTCATCCTCCAGCTCGTGGTTGCGGTAGCTTGAGGGTGGTGCAGTGTAGAGCCAGATCACACAGATGACAATCTGCATGAAGGTGCAGAGGAAGACCAGCAGGAACTGCAGGTTGAGCCCCCACCACTTGCGGTGGAAGCTCGTGGGGATCTTGGCCTCAAACACCAGGAGGACACGGTTGGTTTTCACTAGGATGCATGATATGCAGAGCACGAAGCTGATGCCAAAGGCTGGTTGGCGCAGGCGGCATGTCCAGTCCTGGGGCTCACCAATGAAGAACAGGGAGCTGGAGAAGCAGCAGAGCAAGGAGAAGAGGAGGAGGTAGGAGAGCTCTCGATTGGTAGCCTTGACAATGGGTGTGTTACGGAACTTGAGGAAGACACCCAGCACGAAGGCTGTCAGGAAAATGCCCAGCACAGCAAAGAGAGTGAGTGCAATCCCAAAGGGCTCCGTCCAGGACAGAAACTCAATCTCCTTGGCAATGCAAGAAGTGTGGTTCTCATTGGACCAGAAGTCATCGGGGCACTTGTCACAGGCACTTGCATCTGTAAAATGTTTCAGGGAAGAGTTAGTCACTGTGGGGCATAGACTAAGACCTGTGAGTGTAAACGTGTTGGTAAGGGTATACAGATTATTGGATGCGGTCACTTTAAACTTTCTTTGTTAGTGAAATGATTGAACTCTGACTTATGTTTATTAACATACTTATTTAATTTCATGTATTTTTAATAGTTCTGTTATTTTTTTCCTTTGTACATGGTGGGGGGTGGTGCTACCCCTATTAGCACTATTTGCTGATGGTCTTTAGCAGAGAATGATCAATCTTGCTGGGCAGGTGGCTGGCTGCCTACATACCAGGGGTCTAGCATAGTTTACCAACTTCTCACAGTATTCACACTCAGCCTGATTCATTTTGGATATATGGATGGACTTTGTGGACATGTCAGAGCAGACTTCCTCTTAGATCAAGGCAGAATATCCCACACAAACGACCTGTGCCTTCCTCACTCCACATTCATGGCTTTCCAATGAGGGAGGCTGCAGACGCATTCAGTCAGTAGACATTTATTAAGGCCCTACTATGTCCCAAACACCCTGCAGTTTTGGGGAGTTAAAGGAACTTGGGCTTTCAGTCAGAGATATGGATGGGAATCCTGGCTCTTCTGTTTACTAGCTGTTTGGTCAGGCTCCTTAACCTCTCTGAGCCTCAGTTTCAATCATCTATGCAAAGAAAGCAATAATCCCATTATTGTGGTAAGGATGAAATGAGATAATAACAGTAATAATAACAATTATAGTTAATATGTATAAAGCATCTCCAAATGCCAGTTAAGGTTTTTACTTAACATTTATCTAGAACTTAGCATGTGCTATAACAGTATTAACTCATTTGATTCCCCCAACTCTGTAAAATAGGTTTATTATTATTCCTACTTTGTAGATGAAGAAACTGAGGTACAGGAAAAGCGTAAGTAAGACAGCAAATACAATGCCAGGCACCCAACAGGCAATATATCATGGCCTATTAATTGTGTAGTGTGGAACAGACAGAACTTTGTCTATTTAGGGCTACTGAGCTGTAAGAAAAGGGATATAATATTGGAGAGTGGCATCAAAGTAAAACGAAAGATGTGTAACCTTTTATGGTATTACAGGCATCCAATATTTCTTTTCTATCCCCCTCAATGCCCAGCCCAACGTGACTCTCAGACATACCTTATTAAATGAGAAATTGTGTGAAGTACCTCCTCAGCCTACCCCTTCCAGGGACTTGGCTGACCCCAGTGCTCCAAAGTGAACTGAGCACTGCAGGAGGGCATGTTCCTTTACCTGTTTCATCACTGTACTCCCCATCAGGACATTCCACACACTCAAAGCAGCAGGTGGGCTCCCCCTCAATGATTCCTTTCCTGGTCCCTGCTAGGCAGTCTCGACTGCAGTTGGAGAAAGGTACCTAGAGAACCGAGAGCACAAAAGTGAAGGGCTGCAGCTGTGGGATCGGTCTCCCCTTTTGACACAAGCACGGAAGAGGAGTTTGTGCACAAGGACCAGTACAACAGACTTCAGACTCATTCCAGACAGAGGAAGCCCCAGAGATCCTTGTTCTTATTATCAATGAAAGGGAGGTGGGAAAAAAAAAAAAAAGGGAGAGGTGTCCTTGGGCCAGTGCCTGCAGGTGTACGCGCGCGTGCACACACACACACACACACACACACACACACACATCCATGGGAGTCTGGGAAGATTAATTGTTGCCACTCTACACAGTGACCAAAATCCTCCTTAAATAACCCCCCATTCCATTCTCTCCAAGTCCCATAATGGGACATCTGTTTGCTTTCCATGGAAACAAGAGTTTAAGGCAAGCTAAAAGATGCAGGGACACAGGTCTACATACATATAGAGGGATAATCACGAAGGGAGATGCTGAGATGAAAGGAAATTTGTTTAGAAAATGGGATTCTGAACTTTGCAGTGAATTGCAATTCCTGCAACTTTATTTTAGGCTTTATAGGGTGACTTCTGAGATCCTTGAACCACTCAGCAAGGCAGGCAGGACAGGCATAGAGGAGCCAAAAGTAAATGGATCAGAAAAATATGTCAGGTAACTACTACCCAAAAGAAATCTGCAATAGTGATATTAATTTCAGATAACATAGATTTTATTTATTTATTTCATTAGTGGACTTCAGGTGCATGGAATTTGATTAATCATAATCCTTGTTTTCCCATCATTACTTGTTCATATTTCAATCACTTTTAGCCAGTCATTTTTAATGACTACCCCAAAACAAAAGCTAGGACTAGAACAGTAACCTGCACTTAACTGTACGCTTTCCTCTAACCCCTTGCTTCCTTCCCTACTATATATTCATACCTGAGATGACCACCATTCTCTGTTTATCACAGGCAAATGACATTAAACATTATTTCTTTTTAAAAAAAACACTAAACTTTCAAGGGACAGATGAATCTAATCTTATGTGAACTCTACCAGAGATTGGGGGGGAAAAAAGGGGAACATCTTCTAACTCATTCTTATATAAAGGCCAGTATAACTCTGATTCCAAAACCAGATGAGAACAGTATGAAAAAGAAAAAAAAAATTACAGGCCCATCTCACTACTTTAAGTTGTCTTTAGAAGCAGACCTGAGTTGTGGATTTGTATACAAGTGTTTGCAAGGAAAGTTCTCCCAAGAAACCAGGAAGAGAATGGAGCAAGTCAGACACAGAAGGGAAGAAGACAGCAAGGGTATGATCTTGAGCAAAGTCCCTCAGAGGGTAGCTTCTGCCTGATCCCATAGGGGAACTCTGGACTGTAAGTTATTCCTTAGAGCTGTCCTGACCTAAGGAAAAGGGGGCCAGGGTTTTTGTACTTCCACACCACTCATTGTTAAGGATCTTTTTAGGGAAATGTAAATTTGTGGACTCTTCTGCCTTTCTGAGCCCTGTGGGCAAAGTGGGTTCTATTAGCCCGCTGGTAGTTTTCTAAAAAAGTGTGGTGAGTTCTGTTGGAAGCAAAAATATATAGAAGTCCTGGAGGTATACACAAAGTGTAAGGAATCTGAAAGGACCTGAAAAGAGTACAGCTACTTTTTATCACTTGAATAGAGATGAAAACACTAAAACAATTAACAAACTCAAAGGACATAGGAAAGAATATGTAGCATGATCATGTTAGGTTTGTGCCAAGAATGCAAACAAGTTCAGTACTAGAAAATGTATACTGCATCTATATATATAAAATCCACTGCATTAATAAATTAATGGAGAACAATCATGATCATCAGTAGATAAAGAAAAAGCATTTGATGAAATTCAACACAAAATAGCAATTAAAAACTTACCTGAAAAAGGGAGATAGGAAGAAATATCTTTAACTTAAAAAGGGCAATATAAAAACTTCTTAGGTAAACATCATTCTACATGAAAAAATAAAAGCATTTCCTTTATAACAAGAATGCCCACTATAACCACTATTATTAAACATTGCAGAGTTCATAGCTAGTGGGATAAGACAAGAAAAATAAGGGCATAAATATTGGAAAGAACTCAGTAAAACTTGTTATTTACAGATGATATGATTGTCCACGTAGAAAACTTAAAAGAATCAGCAACCAAATTATTAGAAATAATTGGGGATCAGCCTCAGACTGCCACAGACTTTTCTTACCCAAGTTTCGTTAGTTTTTCTTAAAAAGACACTTCAGCTTTTGTTTGCTTTGGTTGATTACCAGATCCTTAAATGGTTGTTTTTGATAGTTTTGTCCAATTTATTGCTTTATTGTTTCAGAAGCTCTTCTTTTCATTCCATATGATCATGTCAAGTAACACAGAAGGGTGCATACTATTTCCAAAATGTTTCTTTTAAAAAAATGTTTTTAAAAATATTTATTTATTTATTTATTTATTTATTTATTTATTTATTTATTTTGAGAGAGAAATGGAGTGCAAGCAGGGGAGGTGCAGAGAGAGAGGGAGACACAGAATCTGAAGCAGGCTCCAGGCTCTGAGCTGTCAGCACAGAGCATGATGCAGGGCTCAAACTCAAGGACCGCAAGATCATGACCTGAGCCGAAATCAGACGCTTAACCAACTGAGCCACCGAGGCACCCCTCAAAATGTCTCTTTAATAAGACTCTTCCCTTCTCTCCCCACCTACATGCTTGACTTGGAGACATCTTACAAAGTTAAACACATGGAAAGCAATAAAGGAAATTTTTTACTATATCAGAAAAATAACTGCTTTGACGAGGATTTTTTAGAAGACTTAAAGAGAAAATAATTGGCATTATTTTCTAATGAAAGAGGGATATAAATGACAGTATTGGACCTGATGATTGCTAAGATTCTTGGGACCTTGGGAAAGAAAAGAAAGGAAAAGAACTAGTGAAGGACATTAGTACTTTCAACTATAGTAACACAGTACCCTCAGAGATGTTATCTTTCCCAAGTTACCAACCCATTTGATTTTCTAAGAAATTGTCCTTTTGATTTATAGGTCAGCCCGGAGCTATTTGGATAACAGGGAACTACCTCTGTGTGAATTGTCCAGACCCTACCTTGAGTGATATTTCTGTTTGCTTAAATATTTCACTCTGGTTGGGGAAAGTTTTAGTCAAGGAAACTATTAGCCATTTAGCCAAAGGATCAGATTTGTAAAGAATAAGAATTTTCTGAGGATTATCATCTGTATACTAAACACTCATGGATTTCATGGAGAACCTTGGCATTAGAGCTATATGATAAGAGCTAACAAGAGTTAGTGAGTTGAGGGAAGTGGTCTCATCATTTTGCAAGTCCAGTGGTGAAGCCTAAGGCCCTTCTGAAGTCTAGCACAGTTTCCTGCCTGTGGTGGAGGCATCTGTGGTTTTGATGCACAGCACATACCTCCCTGGAGAATCCACTCCACAGGATTTTCTCCTCATTGATGAAGAGCCTTTCTCCTTTCTTGGCATAGACGTTGTAATATCCGACTTCCTTAAACACTATGGAGCCATCCTCTGGAGAGAGGTGCCAGTTGATGATGGAATAGTTCCCCACCAGGTCCCCACATTCATCGAAAGTCACCTGCTCCCCCATATTGTTGGTAAAGTTTAGGTGCCGTAGGTGCTTCAGAACCTAAAGAGGAACAGAGACTTTGAGTACAAGCCACAGGACTACCACATATGTTTAAGTATGTTATGTACTGCATGAGGACAGTAAACTATCTTGTTCTAACAAAGTGGAAGGAACATAACTTTAGGAAGAGGCACCTTTTTCTAATTTACACTAAGGTAATTGTATGTGTTAGCAGTAGCCCTGGTAAGCCACAGGCTTTACTTGATACTCAAATTGTAACTGGGGCGAAAACACCTTCTTGAAGTCAGGAAAGTAGACTGGGCACATCTCACCATGGCCCCTGGCCAAATCAAGTCTTCTTCAGGTACATCATCAACTGGTGGTGCCCCAGGAAGGGCAGGGTTTGTAACCCAGAGCCATTCCTGGTGTCTTCTGAGATGGGTTTTGGGGAAGGAGTGGAGGTATGAAGTACTTTTAAGATCTGCTCCATCTTTCTTTATGCTGCTGCCTCTGTGAAAGTGTCTTGCTGCCAAAAATCACGGAGTGGGGTGAGTGGAAGGAAGAAAGAAATGAGGCTGTCGGTGGAGCCCTCACCATCACTGTTGTAACAGTCATGGCCAATCCCTTAATCTTCGCAGGGTTTTATATGTCATATAACTCTTGTATAAAAAAGTAATGATAATAATTGTTAAACTTTGTTGGTCATTTTACTACATTTTAGGCGCAAATGCTGAATGCCTTATATTTATTATCTAATCTTATCCTTACAACAAATAGTACTATCACCCCCATTTTACTGATGGGGAAAGTGAGGCATAGGAACAGAAGTATCTTGTTTAGAGTTACACAGTTAGCAAGTGGTGCAAAGCCTGCGCTCTTAATGGCTATGCTCTATTGTAGTATTGTTAGGCACCTGGCTTTGCTTCCTATGTGCCCCTGACATGGGTCAGGAGGAGACAGTGAACACTCAGCCCCTTCATGTGGGATGTGCCAGGGGTCCCAAGGCATCAAGAGAGAATAACACATGGTCCAGCCTGTGAATATAAGTGTTCTTGCTTCTACTGCACCTCACAAGTCACTGAGATTTATCACCCTCCTCCAGCTCTGAGCATGTTTCCTCACCTTTGTAATGAGAGGGCTGGTCCAGAGAGGTTGCGGAATCTCTGCAAACTCTGGTATGGACTCTTCTCTCTGTTCTGTGGCTTCATGGTCCCTGAGGTACATCTAGAGGCACCTCTCCCTTTTATCATTATTTTTATCATTACCCCTAAAAAACCAACATCTAATCTGACACTGGGGAAAAGTTTGGGTTGAGTCTGTCTAATGGATGGCTTTACTGAGGCCTTGCACCTATTATCCAGGTTAATATTCATGACAAACTAGGTGACTTAGTTAGGCCCCTTCAGGGCACCTTTAATATTCTACCCCATTCCAGAGATGACACTGCTTTTTAAAACTATATATCTGTATTCACTTTACTTTCAAATAAACATTTATTGTAAGTAAAATTAAGTAGGGAAAAGGAGTCACCTGAATTTGCTCATAAACAGCTCTGGGACAAGTTTGGGGACAGAGTCAATGGCAGACCATGTATGCACACAAACATACCACCCTGGGTGCCTCACCTAACCTTCTGTATGGGATTTACTGCTTTAGTGTCCTCACTGCTACCCTGGCAGACTCTGGCTGCCCTGACTTTTGCCCAGACCTATGGGGGAAGAGGGGGTGTCCTTCCCTTCCTGCTATCGGTTCTTCTGTTCTGCAGTCAGAACTGCTGAGCTATCCTCCAAAAAGAAGGAGAATGAATCCTATTGAGGATTCATGCTACCTGTGTTCTCCTAAGGCTTCCTTGATGGTCATCCATCTTATATTTTTTCCTCCATTTTTACTGACCTTTTAAAACTGTCTGCAGAGCAGTTCCCCAGATATGTTCCTTTTTTATACCTCCAGTTCTCCTTCCTTTTCCTCCATGCTCTTGGAATGACCTGGCCTCCTCCTATACAGAATGATGTACATCCTTTTGTTTGTACCCCAACACATCCTTGTCCTGACACAGCTTTTCTTCCCTGAGAGGAACATACAGTCCTTCTGCTCTGTACAGCTGAGCTTCTTTTGCAGCACTTAGAACCTCATTCCTTCCACCCACTCTGGAACCTCCATTCCATAGTCATGCTTTTCTTTTCCCACATCCTGCTGGGGATCTATCATGGCTCAAATGAAATATTCTTCAAACTTCTCTAGGTAGCTTCCAAAACCTTCCATACTTTGGTTTCATGTACCTACCATTTCTTGTTAGTGCAAATGTTTTATCCTAGTCATACAGTTTCCACTGTCCTTTCCACAATCATGCTAACTCTGTCTTTGCTCTGATGTGTGTAAAAGGAGATGAGAAGAGTGGAGAGGTAGGGAACTACCTCTTATTTACACTTCCTATGTGCCAGGCATTGTACTAAAGCTTTACACACAGTATCTCATTTAATCCTCACAACCACTCTATTATTATATTCATTTTATAGATGAAGAAACTGAGGCATAGAAGTCAAGAAACTTGCCGGTTATAAGCTAGAAAGTTCTTGAGCTGTGATTTAAACATGAGCTTTTCCTGCTGCACTCTCCTGCCTCTGATATAAATGATTTAGAATGTCCATGGCAAATATTTGTCAGTAATATTTCCTCATTAAATATATTTTGAAAAAACATCACTGTTATTTGAAGAATAATTTTAAGAGCATATATACAGCAGTAAAACTGGAGTATTGAGCATAAATTTACTTCCTTCTTATTCAGGTTTAATTCCTTGGTTCTCAATATGCCAGGCAACAAGCTTCCTCTCTCCTTTTCTCTGTCTTTAAGTTCTCTGCAGTGAAAGTCTCCAGGCATTAGTGGATGAATAAGGAAGGGAACAGGGACAGTCATTTTATAATTAAATTGTTATCTTCTACATTGGTCAGGCTGGACAGAAACGTGACTCAAAGATCACCACTGGCTGTAATCTCTTTGTGTTGCTATTGGCATGGGATGGAGATTTCTACCATAATCCTAACATGAAAGAAGAAGAAGTCAATAAAAAATCATTTTCTTAAAGTTTCCATTAAAAAATTATTGTAAACACAGGGTGAGATGTGTGTGCTGTTAGAATCAGTCAACAAGTAAATATTTATAGACTATCCACTATGTGTTCTGAGCTAGGCTGCAGTAGTATAAGACATAGTAATATAGTCCTCATGAGCTAACTTACAGGGTATCAGCTCTAAATACAGCTAAATTCAGAAGGGATGGAAATTTAAAAGGTCTGAAGAGGTCAATACAGGCTTGAGGCATGGTAGAAATTTGGATTGGCAAAGGACAGAAAGAAGGAGGGTGTTAAAAACAGTGGGAATAGCATGGACAAAGATCAAGTTAGGAATAAGCATGAAGTGTTATGGGGGCAGTAAAGAAACCAGTCTCTCAAAATTCGTGTACATGCCAGAGAACAAGGGGAAATAAGGTAGATAGGTAAAGAAGATTCAAGGCAAAGAGGCTGGATTTCATATTAAAAGGCACAGGATCAGATAATAACAGGTTGATGAGAATGTAGAGAAATCTCCATACACTGTTGGTGGGGATGAAAAATGGTGCAGAGACTTTGGAAAATAGTTTGACACTTTCTCAAAAAGTTAAACATAAGAGTTACCACTTGACCCAGCAATTCCACTCTTATGTGTAATCCCAAGAAAAATGAAAACATATATCCAAACAAAAACCTGAACACTACTGTTCATAATTCATAATAATAAAAAATGAAAGCAAGTTAAATGTATATCACTCGAATCAATGGATAAATAAAATATGTTATATCCATATGATGGGATACTATTCAAGCCATAAAAAGGAATGAAGTACTGATACGTGCTACAACAAGGATGAACCTTGAAAACATGCCAAGTGGAAGAAGTCAGTCACACACACCACATATTTTATGATTCGCTTTATATGAACTGTGCAGAAATATCCAAATATAGAGAGACAGAAAGTAGATTGGTGGTATTTAGGAATGGGGGGATGAGATAGTAGGGGGTGACAGCTAAAGGGTATGAAGTTTCTTTTTGATGTGGTGGAAAGGTTCCAAACTGATTGTGGTTATGGTTATACAACTCTGTGAATATACTAAAAACCACTGTAGTAGGTGAACTTTATGATATGTGAATTATATATCAATAAAACTGTTACCAAAAAAGGAAGTATTGAAAGGGATTTCAAATGTCCAAATATGACTTCATTGGTGGAGCAGGTAGAGACCTTGATAACAAGGTAACCTTGAGGACATTTAGTATCAAGAGTTTACTAATGAGACATCGCAATTCTAGCCTCAGATGGGACAGGGAGATAAGGATAGGCAGAAGGTAAAAGCAGGGCAAACATCTTATCCAGAAAAGGAAGCACCCAGGATCTTTGTGGCTAGAAATTTTATACCCAAAATTTATTAGACAAATCTCCTCTAAAGTTAAAGACACTATCTTATTCCTTTCTGTGTCCCCAGTGATTTGTAGAGGGCCCGAATTTGAATGGATACTCAAACTATGTCTGTTGAATGTTTGGTTGATAGTCTAGGCATTAAACTAACACTGTTGAATTTGTCAAGTGGTGCTCATGATGAGGTGTTCACCAGTCTGAGGATAAGTAAACAAATAAATAAGGTCAATATGGTGTCTATATCAGTTAAAAGAGCAAGTAGGTAGAAAATCAATAAAGGTGTAAAAGACTTGAATAATACTTGATCAATAGCACTTGACCTAATTGATATTTATAGAACACTCAACCCAATAGCAGTAGAATACACACTCTTTTCAAGGGCACGGAGAATATTTACCAAGATAAACCATATTCTGGATAATAAAACCATGTTTCCATAAATTTAAAAATATTCAAACAAAGTATGTTTTTTGACTCCTGAGAATTTAAATTAGAAATCAGTAACAGAAAGATATTTGAAAAATCTCCAGATACTTGGAAACCAAATAACATACTTCTAAATAATATATAGGTTAAAGAAGAAATGGAAAGGAAAGTTAGAATGTATT